GAGGTTGCAGTCAGCCAAGATTACATCACTGCACTCCAGCTTGGACAACAGAGCCAGACTTCATATCAATAATAATAACAATAACAATGAAAATACATATATAACTACTTAGAAGGGAAACTACGGCCTTACATGCATATAGTAAAAAAGAAAGGATGAAAATTAATAGGAAAAATAAAGTAAAATAAACCCCAAGGGAGAAAAAGCAGAAAAACATGCAAAGAAAGCAAAAAAGCTAAAGGTTGATTCTTTAAAAGAATAAGCCACTGGTGAGACTGACAAGAGAAAGGATAGGAGGAGCCAGAAAAAGCACAGATAGCCAACAGAGAGAATGAAGAATGCTGGATGCAGAGGCTCATGCCTGTAATCCTGGCACTTTGGGAGACAGGAGCAGGAGCATCACTTAAGGCCAAAAGTTCAAGGCCAGCCAGGGCAACATAGTGGGATTTCATCTCTAAACAAACAAACAAACAAAAAGTTAGCCAGGCATGGTGGCATATGCCTATAGTCCTAGCTTCCTAGCTACTGAGGAGGCTGAGGTGGGAGGATTGCTAGAGCCCAGAAGTTCAAGGCTGCAGTGAGCATGACTGTACCACTACACTCCAGCCTGAACAACATAGCAAGACCCTATCTCTTAGAAAGAAAGAAAGAAAGAAAGAAAGAAAGAAAGAAAGAAAGAAAGAAAGAAAGAAAGAAAAGAAAGAAAGGAAAGAAAGGAAAGAAAGGAAAGAAAGAAAGAAAGAAAGAAAGAAAGAAAGATGGGTCATCACTACAGATCCAACAGATAACACGATTACAAACTTTATGCCAATAAATTTGAAAGTTTTAAATGAAATTGACAAATTCCCAGAAAAACCGAATTAGTTTCACTAACATGGAAAATTAGGATATATTCATAAACTGAAAATCTATGAAAATCAATTAACTCTACCTACATATAACTTGGAAGAATCTCAAAAATATTCAATTTACAAATATATAAATAATGACAGTATTTTAGTCTATTCCTGCTGCTGTGACAAAATGAGTCTGGGTACTTTATAAAGAAAATAAATTTATCTCTCACAGTTCTGGAGACTGGAAGTCCAAGATCAAGGCACCAGTAGTTTTAGTGCCTGCTGAGAACCCAGTCTCTGCTTCTAAGATGTGTTTTTATTGCATCCTCTGAAGAGGATGAACACTGTGTCCTCATATGGTGGAAGAGATGGAAGGAACAGGCAGCTCTCTGAAGCCTCTTTTACTTTTTTCTTCTTTTTTTTTTTGGAGACAGACTTGCTCTGTAGCCCAGGCTGGAGTGCAGTGGTGCAATCTCAGCTTACCGCAACCTCCGCCTCCCAGGTTCAAGTGATTCTCCTGCCTCAGCATCCTGAGTAGCTGGAATTACAGGTACATGCCACCACAACTGGCTGATTTTTGTATCTTTAGCAGAGACAGAGTTTCACCATGTTGGCCAGGCTGATCTCAAACTCCTGACCTCAGGTGATCTGCCCACCTCAGCCTCCCAAAGTGCTGGGATTACAGGCATGAGCCACCATGCCTGGCTTTATTTATTTATTTATTTGAGATGGAGTCTCACTCTGTTGCCCAGGCTGGAGTGCAGTGATGCCATCTCGGCTGATGGCCACTCCGTCTCCCAGGTTCAAGTGATTCTCCTGTCTCAGCCTCCTGAGTAGCTGGGATTATAGGCGCCCACCACCACGCCTGGCTAATTTTTGTATTTTTGGTAGAGACAAGGTTTCACCATGTTGCCCAGGCTGGTCTCGAATTCCTGGCCTCAGGTGATCCGCCTGCCTCAGCCTCCCAAAGTACTGGGATTACAGGAGTAAGCCACCTCACCCAGCTTGATGCCTCTTTTGTAAGGGCATTAATCCATTCACAAGGGCAGATCCTTCATCACTTAATCACTTCACATAGGCCTCATCTCTTAATACTATCACATTGCATATTAGATTCCAACAGATGAATTTTGGAGGGACACACATCCAAACCATGGCATTCTGTCCTTGGTGCCCCCAAATTTATTTCCTTCTCACATGCAAAATACATTCATACCATCCCAATAGCTCCCAAAGTCTTAACTTGTTCCAGCACCCCTTCAAAAGTCTAAAGTCCTAAGTCTACTCTAAATATCATCTAAATCAGATATGTGAGACTCAAAGATATGTTTCATCCTGAGACAAATTGCTCTCCAGCTGTGAACCTGGAAAATCAAACAAGTTATGTGCTTCTAAAATTCATATGTTGGGGCCAGCCACGGTGGCTCACGCCTATAATCCTAGAACTTTAGGAGGCTAAGGTGGGAGGATCACCTGAGTCTGGGAGGTCAAGGCTGCTGTGAGCTGAGTGCACCACTGAACTCCAGCCTCCAGACAGTGAGAGACCCTGCCTTAAAAAAAAAAAAAAAAAAAAATGTGAGGCCTTTGGGAGGTGATTAGGCCATGGGGGCTGTACTGTCTTGAACAGTCCTTCCAAAAGAGGCTTCAGGCTGGTCATAGTGACTCACGCCTGTAATCCCAACACTTTGGGAGGCCAAGGAGGGCGGATTACCTGAGGTCAGGAGTTCGAGACTAGCCTGGCCAGCAGGGCAAAACCCCATCTCTACTGAAAATACAAAAATTAGACAGGCATGGTGGCAGGCGCCTGTAATCCCAGCTACTGAGTATCACTTGAACCCGGGAGGCAGAGGTTGCAGTGAGCCAAGGTTGTGGCATTGCACTCCAGCCTGGGCAACAGAGCAAGACTCTGTCTCAAAAAAAAAAAAAAAAAAAAAAAAAAAGCTTCAGAGGGTTGCCTGGCCTTTCTCTCTCTTCTGCCATGTGAGTACATAGCAACACAGTAACATTTTGGAAGCAAAGAGCCAGGCTTTACCAAACACTGAATCTACTGGTGTCTGATCTTGGGTTTTCCAGCCTTTAAAATATGAAATAAATTCTGTTGTTTATAAATTACTCAATCTCAGAAATTTTGTTACAGCAGCATGAATGGAGTGTAAGACATATGGTGAAGTTTAAAAATGGGTAAAATTAAGCCATGTTGTTCACACATATAAGTGGTATAAAGAAAACCAAGGGGGCTGGGCGCTGTGGCTCATGCCTATAATCCCACCACTTTGGGAGGCCAAGATGGCCAGATCACGAGGCCAGGAGTTCAAGACCAGCCTGGCCAGCATGATGAAACGCCACCTCTACTAAAAATACAAAGATTAGCCAGGTATGCGTTTGTAGTCCCAGCTTCTTGGGAGGCTGAGACAGAAAATCACTTGAATCCGGGAGGTGGAGGCTGCAGTGAGCTGAGATCACACCACTGGACTCCAGCCTGGGTGACAGGGCGAGACTCCATTTCAAAAAAAAAAAAAAGAGAATGAGAACTAAGGGAACAATTACCATAGCAGTCATCTCCCAGGAACATTCTGATCAGAGACGTTTTGATCAGAGAAGAATATACATGGGATACTGGCCATGTTCTATAATTTGTCCTAGGCAGTGGCTAGATGGGTATCTGCTTTATAAACATTATTTAAATTATGTATGTTTGTATTTTCATTCTGCAATTTTCAAAGGTTTTTAAAAATAAAAGCTAACACCAATACATTAAAAACAAATACTCTTTAAGGAGTGGTTCCATCTGGTATGCTTCCTAACACGAGCCTTAGTGAGGGAGACTAGCTCTCCCTTCCTTTTTTTCCCTCTTTTCTTTTTTCTTT